AATTTCCAAAACCAACCACACTAAAACAATTACAGCGATTCTTAGGAATGATAAATTTTTATCACAGATTTTTACCAAACATCTCAAACATTTTAGCTCCTTTACATCATTTATCAAAAACACTTTATTCACAAAAACTTAAATCAATCACCTCTTGGACACACCTTCACGACATTTCTTTCACTACAGCCAAAGAACTTTTATCAAAATCCGTCACTCTTGCACACCCATCACCACAAGCAACTCTTTCACTGACGACAGACGCCTCAAGTAAAGGTATAGGAGCAGTTTTATCACAGACTATAGACAATAAAACACAACCTTTAGCATTTTTTTCTCAAAAATTATCTTCAAGCCAAATAAATTATTCAACTTTTGATAGAGAATTGTTAGCAATTTACACTAGTATCAAATTCTTTAAACATTTTTTACATGGACATCAATTTGTAGTTTACACTGACCACAAACCTCTAATCAACACAATTTTTTCTAACACAGAAAAAACTCCACGTCAGACACGATATCTTACTTACATAACACAATTCACATCAGATATCAGGTACATTACAGGAGAATCAAACATTGTAGCGGACACGTTGTCCAGAACAAATATTGATTCTCTAAATTCACAGTACCCTGACACACAAACTTTAAAAAACGCACAATTTAATGATACAGAATTAACACATTTACTAAACAAACAATACTCAAACACACAAACTACTAAATATAACCTATCGCAACAAACAACATCACATTCAGATGTAAAGCTTTGGTGCGTTTTCAACAAACATTCCTCGGATATACATACCACAAAAATTTCGTAAAACAATTTTCAACAAATTTCACAACTGAACTCATCCTGGTATTCGCGCTACACGCACATCATCCAAACACGATTCTTTTGGCCTCACATGACAAAACACAGTCAGTTATGGACAAAAACCTGTTTGCGATGTCAACAAACAAAAGTTCACAAACACACAAAATGACCTATTAGTAAAATTCCGATACCAAAATTAATATTCGATCATATCCACATTGATTTGGTCCGTCTCTTGGCTGCACATATGTGCTCACCGTAATAGATCGTTTCACGCGTTGGCCAGAAACTTTTCCTCTCAAAGATATTAGGTCTACTTCTATTGCAGATACTTTGTTTCGGCATTAATTCAGCCGATTTGGCATTTCTAGCATTATAACCCATGATCAAGGACGACAATTCGAATCAAATCTCTTTTCAAAATTTCACACCCTTCTAGGAACACGTCAAATTCATACATCTCCAAAGCAACGGAATTTTAGAAAGGTTTCACCGTTCTTTAAAAACAGCCATAACTGCCAGAGGTAACACTACGAGGTGGAATAATGATCTTCCCTTGGTTCTCTTAGGCCTCAGATCATCTCTTAAGGAAGACCTAGGTTGTTCATCTGCCGAATTTGTATATGGTCAACCACTTAGGCTTGACCAGAAGGAACCGACACAGGATTAGAAAAAAAATCCATTAACCGAAACAATATGGCATCTCTCCTTCAGATAGGAAGTACGCCATTTCAGCAAAAGTTTCCCCTGAACACCAAACTTCATTAGTTTAAACAGAAGTTGTGATGCACCCGGTAGAAAGCTTTACTAAAATTCGTATAAACTGAATCAACTCACAAGAATCATCCAGAAAAGATATGTTATCTTGGGTATATTCAAGCAAGTTACTCTCAACCGAGCGACCAGCAAAAAAACTATGTTGTCTACAATTGATTTTAGAGTTAAGGGCAAAGAATAGACTACTTTCTCAAATGCTGGCAAAATAGATATGGGGCGGTAATCAGATATAACACCATGCTCCCCAGATTTAAAAATGGGAAGAACAAAACCCCCTTCCACAATGAAGGAAAGACACTCATTATTAATGAAGCATTAAATAAAGTAGTTAAAGGAAGGGACAGAGAGTGTGAACATTCCTTGATTAAAATTGATGGAATACCATCGGTACTAATACTGTCTATAACCCTGACGCTCATCAGGGCCTCCTCAACCTCAATTTTGTCAAACTGCATCTGACTCAAAGGAAGAGCATCCATTTCTACACAATCTACATTCTGCTGGATTGGAGCAGGATCAACAAAAGAAAAGAAATCAGCGAACAATGAGCATACTCCGACACCGTAGACATCGTAGAAGGATTGACATCCGCACACTTCTTAGACTTAGTAAAAGCCCAAAACACCTTTGGGTCAGATCTCAAGATCTAAAATCGGAAGCTAAATGAAANGCAAGAGAGGAATGTTGTTAAGAATAAAATTTGTTACAACTTTTGTTCTAAGAGTTTATCTATAACATGTTGCGATTCCAGAGTGTTACCATTAACAACTTGTAAAACAACGAAATTCATAAAAATTTTCATATATTGATGTATTTCTTGATATCTGTGCACCTGAGAGGAAAAGTGCAAGAGGGCAATGTTGTTAAGAATAAAATTTATTACAACTTTTGTTCTAAGAGTTTATCTATAACATGTTGCAATTCCAGAGTGCTACCATTAACAACTTGTAAAACAATGAAATTCATAACATTTTCATATACTAATGTATTTCTCGATATCTGTGCACCTGAGAGCAAAAGTGCAAGAGAGTAATGTTGTTAAGAATAAAATTTGTTACAACTTTTGTTCTAACAGTTTTTTTGTGTTGTGCTTAGATTCCCCAGTGCTACCATCAACTTGCAAAGACTTAGAAATTCATCGAATTTTCATATTTTTCTCGATATCTATGGACCCAAGAGCAAAAGTGAAAAAGAGCAATATTGTTAAGAATAAAATTTGTTACAACTTTTGTTCTAACAGTTCTTTTGTGTTATGTTTAGATTCCCCAGTGCTACCATCAACTTGCAAAAAACTTAGAAATTAATCGAATTTTCATATTTTCATATTTTTCTCGATATCTATGGATCTGAGAGCAAAAGTGAAAAAGAGCAATATTGTTAAGAATAAAACTTGTTACACCTTTTGTTCTAAAAGTTTTTCTATGACATGCTGCGAAATTTATAAAATTTTCGTATATTGGTATATTTCTCGATATCTGTGCATCTGAGAGCAAAAAAACCAAAAGGAGAAAAAAAAACCATTAACCGAAACAATCTGGCATCTCTCCTTCAGATAGGAACTAAGTCATTGCAAAAGTTTCCCCTGAACACCAAACTTCATTAGTTTAAACAGAAGTTGTGATCCACCCGGTCGAAAGCTTTACTAAAATCCGTATAAACTGAATCAACTTGACAAGAATCATCCAGAAAAGATAAGATATACTGGGTATATTCAAGCAAGTTACTCTCAACCGAGCGACCAGCAAAAAAACCATGTTGTGTACAATTGAATTTAGACTTTCTCAAACACTTTTTCAAATGCTGGCAAAATAGATATGGGGCGGTAATCAGATATAACACCATGGTACCCAGATTTAAAAATGGGAAGAACAAAAGCCCACTTCCACAATGAAGCAACAATTATTAATGAAGCATTAAATAAAATAGTTAAAGGAAGGGACAGAGAGTGTGAACATTCCTTGATTAAAATTGATGGAATACCATCGGTACTAATACTGTCTATAACCCTGACGCCTCAACCTCAATTCTGTCAAACTGCATCTGACTCAAAGGAAGGGCATCCATTTCTACACAATCTACATTCTGCTGGATTGGAGCAGGATCAACAAAAACCGAAGAAAAGAAATCAGCGAACAATGAGCATACTCCGACACCGTAGACATCGTAGAAGGATTGACATCCGCACACTTCTTAGACTTAGTAAAAGCCCAAAACACCTTTGGGTCAGATCTCAAGATCTAAAATCGGAAGCTAAATGAAAAAAGTACCGGATTTTTGACGGTGTCGGTAACTTTGTCCACTTTGCGATTTTTTTTAGACCGATTTAAACAAATTATTAATTAAAACGAAACCGAAAAAGTCATGCGAGGAGAGGGGGGTTCCGTTCAATTGGAAAAGATGTTGCGTTCCAATACGTCGCGCCTTTATCTTACCTACATAAAGAAATAAAGGCGCGACGTCCTGTCTGGAACACACATGAGTACCATCTTAAATAGTACTTGAAAATTTTATTGATATGATAAAATATTGATGAAATTTCATTTTAAACTCATTCTTAATTCGTTTTAATCAATTTAAATTTAAACCACCTTTAAGAGCACTTCGCTTTATTTCCTCACTTTTCAACTCCCTTTCAAACTAAACTATCTAAATTACCAATTACTAACCAATAAAGTAATTAAATTTAACCAACCTTACTACTATTCCTTCGATGTTCCCTTAAACTCAACCTTTTCTTCCAATCCCTATTCGTTGTCGTCGTTGAACCAGAAGCAACACCCGTTTCAGAATTCTCCCGATCCGACGGTAAAGGTCTCACCGTATTCATCTCTTCTTTCATTTTTCTTTTTTTCGCTTTATTAGATTATTGGCGTAAAAAGATATAATTTACGGCTATTTCCACTTCTTTTTTTCAACATCTTTTTCCAAGCTAAAAAACGAAAATAGAACGGTAGCAACAAAAGTTTAAAATTTATAAGGATTAAAATTGAATGGGTTGCGATTAAAAGACGTGTTGTTAATTGCTTTAATTACGCTGTCGAGTTAGCCGAGAAACAAACGAGGCACGTTGACGACGTGTTTTGTTTTCAAGCCGATAATCGATTGTTTTAAAGCGGCAATCTCCGTCTTATTTTTACTTGAATTATTATAAATTATAATCGTCGGTTTCGAATAATATGTGTTGATAAAGTCACGATGTTGTTGGATAATACTAAAAAGGTGTAATTGATTATTTAATTTGTAAAAATAATAAATCAAATTTTTTTAGGTTAAAAAATTATTCATTTAAAGACCACATTTTATGGGAACTACATCCGAAACCCGGAGGAAGTAGTTTTGGTCTTGTTCGCATTCAGTTTCCTCTCCCTAGAGAATGTGTAGACAATGAAAACTTAATTAGACTCTCCATAGCGACTAAAAGGACGTGTAAAACATTATTTACAAGAGGTTTGTTAACACAAAAAAAATTTAGTGGGTGATATATTATTTCGTATTAATGTGTGTAAATGTTTTGGTTAAATACGTAAAGTTAGTTTACATAATATAGTTCGAGCTTGCAATAATCCATACCAACTATGGAGAGAATTCCCAGTGGTAAACGTGACTTCTCTTTGATATTGTAATGATGGAAGTACGAAACTTGTAACAAGCTTCATCAAACTATTACTAAAATACCATACACTATACAACTTTTGATTGATAAGCAATAATTCAAATACGACTCCAAAATTATTTTAAACACAAACTCACATTGTGTTCCACAAAAACGTAATAAAAATCATATCACTTTTTTACCATCAAATAGATTGACATTATCTTTATTAGGTAGAAATTGGATGTAAATTATCTTTGTTATTATTAAAAAAAAGCAGGTTATGGAAACGATACTATATAAAATCCAATTAAATATTCCATTATCTTCAGAAAATGAAATTAAATAAGTTTAAATTAAATATACAAGAAGATTCACCCGGGCTTGTTTCCGAGTTGAATTGAATTCATAAATGGAGGGAGAGATCTTTATTTAAGTTACACATGCAAAAAAAAATGAGATTTACTTGGAATATTTTTTTATTCCTAAGAAAACAAATCGTTGCGAAAATTCGATTTTATCGAAAACCGAAGGTAATAACAATCCCCGTTTGTCTATTGGGAGTTGAACGTCTCTCGTTTTCCGTGGGGAAACAACAACAAAAAGAAAAAAATCGAAGATTTACGAGACATCGAAGAAAACGAAACGTACACAACATTACATTTTGTAAAGTTTTCTATTCTTTTAACCGAGTGCTTAAAAGTGCGCAGAAAGTAATTCTGCGAAAACATTAAATAACAGCGAGTTTTAATAAAAACGGTGTTTTTTGTAAAAATTGAATTTTACAGATGAACTATCGGAAGCGGACGCATGAATAATTCAATGGACGGAAAATTTATCCCACCGCGAAACTGTTTCGATTTATCCCGAAATTAAAATCGCAAGAGAAAACAGCCAAATCGGTTATAAATCTTTACAATTGTCGGGCGAATAAAAAATTTAACTCGAATAACGATTTTTAATATTTGAAAATATTATTAAATATTCAAATCAACATTTTGAATTAGTTATGAATTATAAATATGAAGGTTTTCACGACCTAAAATTATTTAAAATAATATGAATTAAATAAAAACAACATAAAAACAAGATCCTCGGAGACTTGTATTATTAAAACAATTCTAGCAATTATGAAGTATAAACACATTAAAATGCATGTTAAAAGTTAAAATTTTACGATAAAAATATAAATCAACACTACTATACTCGGAATGAAGAGCACTTATGTTGCGGGATTTAATATGTTGCCAAAATCTAATGTTGTATTATTAATGTATCTGATGATGGCGTAAGCCGAAACCGGTCAGACAGTATATTATAGAAAATGGATCAAACTCCCTCATCTCATTAATTAACATAAAACTAACACTATCACTAGAACTAACATTAGACCTAGAACTACAAAATGGTTCAACAAAGCAGTGCATGTTTTGAGGACACTTTTATTACCATTTTGGAAAATTTTCATACTCATATTCCAAGAAATGGATGTTATACGAATTTTTAAAACTTGATCGTCGAAAATTGCAAAATTCGAAAAAATTGTCGATTATTTCAAAAATTTATATCTACAGNGGAGACTTGTATTATTAAAACAATTCTAGCAATTATGAAGTATAAACACATTAAAATACTCGTTAAAAGTTAAAATTTTACGATAAAAATATAAATTAACAGTACTATACTCGGATTGAAGGGCACTTATGTTGCGGGATTTAATATGTTGCTAAAATCTAATGTTGTATTATTAATGTCTCTGATGATGGCGTAAGCCGAAATCGGTTAGACAGTATATTATAGAAAATGGATCAAACTCCCTCATCTAATTAATTAAAATAAAACTAACACTATCACTAGAACCAACATTAGACCTAGAACTACAAAATTGTTCAACAAAGCAGTGCATGTTTTGAGGACACTTTTATTAACACTTTGAGAAATGTTCATAATCATATTCCAAGAAATCGATTTTATACGAATTTTTAAAACTTAATCGGCGAAATTGCAAAATTCGAAAAATTGTCGATTATTTCAAGCATTTATTTCTCAAGAACTAAAAGTGATTTTTCAAAACGGCTTTTTGCATTAAAAAGAGGATACTATAATTAATAATAGGCGATATTTCCACAAGGATCCTCCAAGAAATTAATTTTATAGCAAATTTTGAAAACAATCGTTAAAAATTGCAACATCGAAATTTTTATCAAAACTTCAAATATTGTTTTCTCAAAAACTAAAAGTTATTTTTCAAAACGTGTTGGTTCATTGGAAAGAGGACACTTTTATTAACATTTTCTGAAATGCTCATACTCATATTCCAAGAAATCGATTTTATACGAATTTTTAAAACTATCGGCGAAATTCGAAAAAATATCGATTATTTCAAAAATTTTTTTCTCAAAAACTAAAAGCGATTTTTCAAAACGGCTTGTTGCATTAAAAAGGGGATACTTTTATTAATAATTGTTGATATTTCCACAAGGATCCTCCAAGAAATTAATTTTATAGCGAATTTTGAAATTATCTATAAAAATTGCAACATCGAAAATTTTATCAAAACTTCAAATATTGTTTTCTCATAAACTAAAAGTTATTTTTCAAAACGGTTTGGTTCATTGGAAAGAGGACACTTTTATTAACACTTTGGGTAATTTTCATACTGATATTCATCGAACATATAAGCTAATGTTCTTAAGTCATTACCATTAAGCTTACCAAACATTCTTTTCCGGAGTGATTAACAGCCGTAAACAAAACAATCTTATCCAATATTTTTTTCCAGCATGCTTGGCAGGCGGAATCAAAACTGACCTATCCTAACATCTATTCACGCTATAATTGGGGTTTCAAAAGAAACTGGCCTATCCTAACATTCCTTCATGCAATAATTGGGGTTTCTTCACGCTATAATTGGGATTTCAAAGGAAAACTGACCGCTCCTAACGTATCTATCGGAATCTATCAGTTTTTGCCGATAGGATGAAAACAAAAGACGACAGCTGTTTGGAGTTTTCGGCATTAGCAGTTTCTCGAAAAACGAGATCATGACATGCAGCTACTTTTTTTCTATCTTCTTTAGTTTCGAAGATAGTCTATTGAAACAACGAATTTGGGACACCTGTATACGAAGAAAGAGAAAACTTAGCTTGTGACATGGACTTTTCGGCATTAAGTTAAATAAAGGATATTCATTACAAATCTAATAAGTTTAGTCATATAATAATGGTTAATCCGATAGAAAAAGTGTGTATATCAAAAGTTATGCAGAATTTAATTTTTTTCACTTTATTATTTAACTTTTTTTCGTAAAATTACTAACAACGGAGACATTCCCTTTATGATTTCAGGTGCCATCTTTCCAAGATAGCGGCGATATCGGTCTTCTTCCGAGGCCGAAAACTCGCTGTCATTATAAGGATAAGATATAAGCTATGTTGTATTTTATATGGGGTAGTACAAGTGCATAGTACATAATATTGCGAGTTATATGAAATTTCCGCTATTCATATTGGTGATATGTGGATGAATCTTTATTGCCTTTCTTGTCATCCTTTGGTAATAATGTCCGGTTCTTCCTAGCATCTTGGTCTTTTAGAAATCTATGGTGTGTCCCCCATTGTGGCAATGTTCTACGATGTGCTACCCTTTGATGTTCCTTGATTCGACATTCGATGTCACGTCCAGTTTGGTCAACGTAATACTTTCCGCAACTGCATGATAGCTGATAGACTCCTTTAATGGGGTTAGTTTGTCTTTAGCTATCGGAAGGGCGTTCTGAATTTTGCTGACTCACACGAGGATCATACCGAGTCTTCCCTCTCCTTACATTGTTGTTAGTAGAAATCGTTCTCCTTTTTTTAAATTCTTTTTGTCACAAATCCTTTCTGCTCGTTGGAACAAAGCTTGGATCACTGATCTTTTCTCATGTGAATGGTGACGAGATGAAGCCTGTAGATATCTGTTCGTGTATGTCATCTTCCGATACACTTTCACTTCCTTACCCTCATCTATCTTCCTAGTGATCAATAAATCCAGGAAAGGTAAATGTTTTGCAGCTTTCGTTTCTTGTCTAGGAATTCCTGGAGGAGATCACGAAAGTGTTCTCTATGTAACAGAGCCATAGCTTTGGTTTCCACGGACTCTTCCTTAACGCTTCCTATTCAAACAAGGTGATTCAATGGCTGCCCCACGTTTTGCCCATAGAAGTACTTGAACTACTCCGGGATTAGTTTCTGGCGAAGACCTTTGACTCGTACTTTGGTAAATAGATATTTTACATCGAAATTTACCAGGATAACTCGGAGATCTAACTTCATACTTTTGATTGATTCCAGAAA